AATAAAAAATATAAACTAGGAGTTGTGATATATTTTATTTTTTCCTTTTTTACAACCAACTAAAAACAGTTAGAAACAAATTAAAGTTTTGCTCTTTCATTTGCATGTCATAGTAGCAAAAAAAATACAGTAGTGAAAGACAGATTCTATACATTTTGTTAGAAGTCAAACAAATAGAATACAAGCGATTTAGGTGCTCGAATGATGGCTAGCAGCTTCAGCATTTCTGCTTTGCAATTTGAATGTTTTTTATTGCACTTTCTTAAAATAAATGAGAGAAAAAACTTCCATGAGTCTCGTCATATAAAAGTTCAAATAGAAGATCTCCTTGTTTCTAAGGTTTTGTAGAAAAGAACGTCAGTTATACTGATAAATAATGATATTTTCAGTAAACCTATTTGCATGTTAACATGAAGATGTATTTTTATCCTGAATAGAGGATTATTTTATTCACAGCTGATGGTAAAAATGTAACTTCGCGCTTTATCCATGCTTTTTTCGAGATATGATACAAGACCTCTCTCAGATCTTTAAAACTCTTACGAATAATTAAATAAATTATAGGATGGGTATAACTTAAAGTTCAACGACCTTTCTCAAAGAACCTCAATTAAAGTGAACAGTCTGTTCCACTAGAGAGAACCAACAATTACCAGACTTTACACTTTTTCATTTCATAATCCTTTTTAGACCTAACATCTGCGAACGAAAGTCGAACATACTATAAAACGAATAGAAACTTAAATATTGCACAAAGGTCAATAATAATATCAAACTTATGAATTTCAGATGTCTATAGAAAAAGTGTGTATAATAACTGGTTCAAGTTCAGGTCTTGGACTCCTTACAGCTAAAAAGTTAGTGTTGAAAGATGTTCATGTCATTTTTGCATGTCGTGACGAAGTTAAAACAATGGCATTGCTTCAAAAACTGAAAGACGAATCAGGAAGATCAAATTTTGAATTTATGAAGTTAGATCTCAGCTCGTTCGACTCTATCCGACGGTTAGCAATTTTTCTTGCTTGCTTTATGTAATATTTATTTTATTTGATGAACTACTATAGGTTCGTCGATGATTTTCACAGCAAAAAATTACCACTCAATTTGTTGATAAACAATGCGGGAGTGTATTCCAAAACTTTCAAGAAATCAAATGATGGGATTGAATATTCTTTTGCAGTTAATCATCTAGGACATTGTATGATCTAAATTAGAATACCACTAGGCATGCACCAAAAACATATGATTTAGCTTCGAACTTAAGGACATTATACATCAGCTTTCATTTCTTACTACTCACCTTATCGTCCCGTATATAGGTCTCATTCACAGACATTGATTCCGATCGTTTTAGTTGTCCAGTTCATTACTTGATTTCATTTGAATAAAGAGACTAATTTTATAGAAAAAGTTTTACTTCTCAAGAAAAAAATATTGTATATCTTAGTCTGAAACAATACAGTGACATAGTTTAATGAAGAATAATAACAATAGCAAAAGATATAGAGTATAAACATAGGTATTGTGCGCGTAGAACAATATCTATCTTTATACGTATAACAACACAGATAAATTACGTCTCTCTCTTCGTCTTCACATGCTATCAAGTTGTAGGATAGTTCTAGAAAATCGGTGCATACAAATGCGTGTGAAAAAACATCTTTGACATACTCATCCTCAGGCGCTTAGTTTAGCCTTTTAGCTTCACTTAGACTCGTGTAAATGTATGCTGCGATGAGAGAAATCTTTTGCTCAGATTATTTTGAGACCACCACATCCAAATATTGAGTTTTCATAGCATACTAAAATACTAGAAAAACTGATTATGATATTTGATTTCTGTTTAGTTTTACTGACAAATCTTCTTTTGGACGACTTGAAACGTTCATCTCCTTCAAGAGTAGTCATTATTTCATCAAAACTTCATGATTCAAATGCAAGACTTGGAAATCCTCCAAAGTTCAAATGGAACTTAGATGAGATTAACAATGAGATGGAATACGATGGAATGGTTGCTTACAAAAATTCGAAACTGGCCAATATTTGGTTTGGATACGAATTAGCTCGAAGATTAGAAAATACAGGAGTTGATGTTCATGTTGTTTGTCCGGTACAGATTATAATGTTATGTCTCTCATGTATTAGATAAATGGCTAATGGTTTTTTTTAGGGCTTCGTTCCTACTACAGGTTTGCATAGAGACGCAAACTTTTTTCAGAGATACTTTATGTATTATATATTGTCTCTATTTCCATTTACACGGTCAGTATCAATCAACAAATCAATACATTTATTAAATTTCGTTCGTTATTTAGAACGGAAGATTTCGGTAGTGAATGTGAAGTATTTGCTGCCACGTCTAACACTCTTAATGGTAAAACTGGAGTATTTATGTCTGATATGAAAGAAGCACGTTCAAGCGAAGAATCGTACAATGTAGAGAATGCAAAACGATTATGGGATTTAAGTGAACAATTGACACATCAAAATATTTGAAAATAAAAGATCCTTCTTATAAATGCAACGTTGTTCATATAAAAATTGGTTTTCTTGACAATGATTTATTTGGATGTGGATATGGTATAGTTCTTGGCTTCATTCATCTCCAAGCCCACATCCCATTTTCAATAGTTTTTCCTATTTTGCCTGTTGTTTCTGATGCAAACGAATATCTGGATCAATTTGATCGATATTGTTTCTTTTTCTATTGATATTTTTTTTCACACATCTCTAATGATTTATAAATAACTTGAAGATTATTTTTATCATTATTATTTAATGTTTCTTGACCATTTTCTATCAAATTTTTCTTCTTTTCTCTGTATGTATTTTTATCCTTAAATAAGTGATTATTTTCATGTGGTCTATTATTTAATTGTTGAATGAATTGTCCTAACTCTTTCTTTATTCTATCTAAAAAGATTTCTGATTCTTATTGAATCTTTTTCTCGTTGACTACCTTGACGTCTCGCATTCATTTTTCTATTAATATCTGCTATAATCTGTGTACACCAATCACGTTCACTTTCACAAACACATTTCTTAAATTCTTATAACGTTTGAAAAAGTTCATATTCGACAAAAGAACTGCTTTTAAACTATCATTATTTAATTTTTCACGATGTTTTAATTGTAAAAAATAATGCAATCCATTACTCCAACGTGTATTCGATTGTTCAACGCTAAAGTACTCGAAACTCGAAAATCTCTGTTTTCAATCATCAACTGAATATACTGATGAACTTTATTCACATTTTCTTCACTATGAGATTGTTCGATCTTATTATTGACTGATACCCAGATTTGAATAAATATATCTCTTAAATGTCTCATATATTTTCTCAATATTATCGATAACCATATTATCAACTTCGTTTACAAACAGAATATTTCCTATACGATCGTTTATGTCCTTAACAAACAATTTCATAAGTAAAATATCTCTTTGAAAAAAAGCAGTCTCACCATAAATGGTCTCCTTTTATTTCTATTTAATTTGTTCTTGGTTTCTCACAAGTCTCATTGCAATAATTATTAACTTTTAAACCAAATAAATGAAAAAAATTTTTGCAAGCTTCTTCTGGGTCATCGCTCATATCTCGAATAGCTAAAACTTTCGAACTCGTAACAATATCAACTTTTTTATCAATCAATGCTTATGCAGTTGCTAAGATAGCAGTAATCAATGATTTTCATTCACCTATAGATATATTACCTAATCTACCTTCTTCTCTGCCATGTAGTTCTAAAAATATACCTAGAGCGATTGATTAAATATTTATAAGATGATATTCATGATATAATTCAACTGCTTTTACAATGGCAACTATGATTTCCGGAAGATATTCTTTAACCCAATGGAAATATTCTTGACTCTAACCTTTATCTTTTCTTAATTTATCAGCCAATTGTCGAATATATCATCTTTTGTCCCATCCTTAATTGATTTACTAGATAACGAAGTACAAAGTTTTGATTTTGATTTTTCATGTCTTAATGGTTTTTCCTTTTCAGTGAATCTTTAACCATAAAATGAATGAATCCTTTGTAATAATTTGTTTATTTTTGTTTGATTGAGCTGACTGTTTAATAGGATCATTGATTTTTCTTTCACCTGCTTTTTTGTCTCATTAATTCAATCAATTGTTCTACACTTTATTCGCAAAACTAACTTTCAGTGTGATCTTTTAAAATATTATTCCATTGATCAAATGGTTTATTTTTTAACGAGTTTAAACTATCTTTATCTCACGTAAAGTCGCCAAAAGTTGTTCTTCTTACAATTCATTTAATTGACTAAGAACAAATCGATCATCTTGAATTTTTATGTTTTTTATAAGTATCAGTAAATTTGTTAAAATATCTTTTCCTTTTTCTTCACTTGAAAGAATCTATTTTTCAAGTCGTAATTTCCATAGAGGTATTTGATAATATAAATCAACACGACTTTTCATGACTAAATCAATAAATTCAATCAAAAATCGACTCAAGTTTAATCAAATATGTCTAAGAATAGACATGATGGATCAATATGTATGTCTAATTTTTCTTTCAAATTTTTTAATTTATTTGTTGATTCGGAATCAAGAGTTCCACTTAACATTTTCTTTAGATTATATTCGATACGTGCAAACAAAATATCAAATAGTCATGAATTTCTTTTCTTTTTGGTAATTATTTGTTTGACTACTGACAAATCTTCAGAATCAAAACACAAAGAAAATATTTTTCTTTAGATCATTTAATGAAATTTCACTTGGACTACCTATACTCATTTCTGTCATCATTTCAAATCAAATCATCTAAATGATTTTCGACAAAAAACTGAGATACTCGAATTTCTTTACATGTTCTTTCTGTATCAGTTGAAAAATTTTCTTAAGAATTTTATCTTTCACTTGTTCAACTTTCAATGCATTTAATTTCTTTAACCCTGATAGAACAGGTTTTAGAAATACATCACATAATCTTTTTATTTGATGCTCATTGTCATTATCATTTGTTTTTATGAACGATAAAATCTATTTAATCTGTCAGTTTTCTTCATTACTGCTGAATAATTCTATTAATTTTTCCAGGTCTTCATTATTATTTATGTGATGCTGAATGTCAACTGCAGAGAAATTTATTTCATAAATTATCCTCTTTCAATTGAATCATGTCATAACCTAATTTAGAATTTTTTTTTGAAATATTTCACCTGGGATAATATTTCGATCAAAATTCAAAGAAGAAAAAATAGTTGCACCATGTCTATCATCTACAAAAACAGCTTTTTATTTGATCGCACTTTTGATAACGAATGTTTAATATTCCATCAACTTTAACAGTAAAAATTTCCAATTCAGTGCTAAATCTATTTCATTTGTATTGCGTAAACAAAAACGAACTCAGGTGTCTTTGTCATTTTCATATAACGAACAAAATCAACAACAATGATTGAAAAGATTTATTAGATATTTCTCTTTAAATTGTTTATTATTATTCAAATTCTTTATTCTTTGTAATAAATATCTAAAAAACTTCTGCTTATTATATAAATAATCAAATGATAAAACATCTAAAATAGATAAAATATCAGACAGATTATCTTTAGTTATTTCTTGAGAATCTATATGAAAAGCTTTGGTAATAATCTTATCTACTATATTATCTAGAATTTTTTCAGTTTGATTATAAAGTTCATCAAAAGAAATCAATAATTCTTTGTAATCTGTTCTATGATTAAATTATCTGCAATTCTATCTTATTTTGATTGAAACTTAAATTTTAATCTCAATATTTAATTTAATTTAATAGAAATAAACCAATAAAACTTTCAAATTACTTAAGTGATATTCAATAAGTTCTCTATTTTCATAATTATTATTCAGATTAATTCGAGCGAGTGAAATTAACAAATGTTTGATTTGACTATATTGTAACTGTTCCCAATGTTCGTTTATTTTTATTTTTAGAATATATAAATTTTTAACCTTTATTTTCAAGAATGTCTTTTCACTATCGATAATATTTTTAATTTCTGTTATTTTGATTTTAATAAATGAAGAATCATTGCTTGCCGATAAAAGTCTCAATAGTTGTTTTTGTTTTGATGCTAAAACTTCATGAATAATTTTTTATATTATTTAGGATAAACTGGTCTATTGATCGTTTAGAAATATTTTCATTTAATATTTTTTCGAATTCGTTGATAAATTCTGATATATTATTTTGTTTCAAATGTATTGATTAGATTGAGAACGTTCTCAAGCATTGATAAGATCGAATTCAAAGAAAGAAGAATCAGATTGTGTGGCATCCTTTCAATAAACTCTTCATATTCCTTCTTTTTAACAAAACTAAGTTTGCGTTTTTTTCATCACCTTGTGATGATGAAGAAAACAAAAGCTTTTCAAAGTTTTCTTCAAGCATATAATTACATGCTAAGATAAAATCTGAAATAATAACTTGATCANGATATAAACAACATTAAGTCTTCACAGCGAAAAGCACAAAAAGATTGTGAATCACTTTAAAAACGCTGTTAGCGCAATCTCTTGCGGGATTGAAAATGTGAAACACGATGGAACTATTGTTACTAGTTGAATGGAAATTGTTTTGTTCCATTTCTTTGCGATATATTTGTAGCTAACGGTTTATCTAATGCTTTATAACTACAGTTTCTCTGTTACGATCTGTGATGGATCCTAAGCCCTGTCTGTCACGGTCTGTGGGGGGGGGGGGGGGCCAAATTTCTACCCTAAACACTTCAACACTCCTTTCAGATCGTGTTTCACAAAAAAACTAATTGAGTAAGGTCACAGATATTACATTTCTTTGAAGTCTTAAACAAAAGAAGAATATGCAAACAATAATAAGTATACGAATAAAAAATACAAACTAGAAGTTGTGATATATTTTATTTTTTCCTTTTTTTACAATCACCTAAAAACAGTTAGAAATAAATTCAAGTTTTTCTCTTCCATTAGCATGTCACAGTGGCAAAAAAAATACAGTAGTGAAAGACATATTCTGTGCATTTTGTTAGAAGTCAGAAAAATAGAATACCAGCGATTTAGATGCTCGAATGGTGGCCAGCCGCTTCAACATTTTTATTGCATTTTCTTAAAATAAATGAGAGAAAAAACTCCCATGGGTCCCATCATGTAAAAGTTCAAATAGAAGATCTCCTTGTTTTTAAGGTTTTGTAGAAAAGAACGTCAGTTATACTGATAAATAATGATATTTTTAGTAAACCTATTTGCATGTTAACATGAAGATATATTTTTATTCAGAAGAAAGCATTATTTTATTCACAGTTGATGGTAAAAATGTAACTTCGCTCTTTATCCATGCTTTTTCCGAGATAAGATACAAGATCTCTCTCAGATCTTTAAAACTCTTACGAATAATTAAATAAATTATAGGATGGGTAAAACTTAAAGTTCAACGACCTTTCTCAAAGAACATCAATTAAAGTGAACAGTCTGGCTCCACTAGAGAGAACCAACAATTACCAGACTTTACACTTTTTCATTTCATAATGCTTTTTAGACCTAACTTCTGCGAACGAAAATCGAACATACTGCAAAACGAATAGAAGTTTGAAGATGGCACAAAGACCAATAATAATATTCAAACCTATGAATTTCAGATGTCTATAGAAAAAGTGTGTATAATAACTGGTTCAAGTTCGGGTCTTGGACTCCTCACAGCTAAGAAGTTAGTGGTGAAAGATTTTCATGTCATTTTTGCATGTCGTGACGAAGTTAAAACAATGACATTGCTTCACAAACTGAAAGAAGAATCAGGAAGATCAAATTTTGAATTTATGAAATTAGATCTTGGCTCATTCGACTCTATTCGACGGTTAGCAATTTTTCTTGCTTGCTTTATGTAATATTTATTTTATTTGATGAACTACTATAGGTTCGTCGATGACTTTCACAGCAAAAACTTACCACTCAATTTGTTGATAAACAATGCGGGAGTTTATTCAAAAACTTTCAAGAAATCAAATGATGGAATTGAATATTCTTTTGCAGTTAATCATCTAGGACATTGTATGATCTAAATTAGAATACCACTAGGCATGCACCAAAAAAATAATGATTTAGCTTCGAACTTAAAGACATTATACATCAGCTTTCATTTCTTACTATTCACCTTATCGTCCCGTGTATAGGTCTCATTCACAGATATTGATTCCGATCGTTTTAGTTGTCCAGTTCATTAGCTGATTTCATTTGAATAAAGAGACTAATTTCATAGAAAAAGTTTTACTTCTCAAGAAAAAAATATTGTATATCTGAGTCTGAAACAACATAGTGGCAAAGTTTGATGAAGAATAATAACAATAACGAAAGATGTAGAGTATAAACATACGTACTGTGCGCGTTGAAAAATATCTTTGACATACTCATCCTGAGGCGCTTAGTTGAGCCTTTTAGCTCCACTTAGACTCGTGTAAATGTATGCTGCGATGAGAGAAATCTTTTGCTCAGATTATTTTGAGACCACCACATCCAAATATTGAGTTTTCATAGCATGCTAAAATACTAGAAAAACTGATTATGATATTTGATTTCTGTTTAGTTTTACTGACAAATCTTCTTTTGGACGACTTGAAACGTTCATCTCCTTCAAGAGTAGTCATTATTTCATCAAAACTTCATGATTCAAATGCAAGACTTGGAAATCCTCCAAAGTTCAAATGGGACTTAGATGAGATTAACAATGAGATGGATTACGATGGAATGGTTGCTTACAAAAATTCGAAACTGGCCAATATTTGGTTTGCATACGAATTAGCTCGAAGATTAGAAAGTACAGGAGTCGATGTTCATGTTGTTTGTCCGGTACAGATTATAATGCTATGCTTCTCTTGTATTAGATAAATGGCTAATGGTTTTCTTTTAGGGCTTCGTTCCTACTACAGGTTTGAATAGAGACGCAAATTTGTTTCAGAGATACTTTATGTATTATATATTGTCTCTATTTCCATTTACACGGTCAGTATCAATCAACAAATCAATACATTTATTAAATTTCATTCGTTATTTAGAACGGAAGATTTCGGTAGTGAATGTGAAGTATTTGCTGCCACGTCTAACACTCTTAATGGTAAAACTGGAGTATTTATATCTGATATGAAAGAAGCACGTTCAAGCGAAGAATCGTACAATGTAGAAAAAGCAAAACGATTATGGGATTTAAGTGAACAGTTGACACATCAAAATATTTGAAAATAAAAGATTCTTCTTTTAAATACAACGTTGTTCATATAAAAATTGTTTTTCTTGGCAATGATTTATTTGGGTGTGGATATGATGTGATTCTTGGCTTCATTTTTAATTTCTTCTAAAGAATTCATATCTTGATCAATTTGATCGATATTGTTTCTTTTTCTATTGATATTTTTTTTCACACTCATCTAATGATTTATAAATCACTTGAAGATTATTTTTATCATTCTTATTTAATGTTTCTTGAACATTTTCTATCAAACTTTTCTTTTTTTCTCTGTATGTATTTTTATCCTTAAATAACTGATTATTTTCATATTGTTTATTATTTAGTTGTTGAATGAATTGTCTTAACTCTTTCTTTATTCTATCTAAAAAGATTTCTGATTCTTATTGAATCTTTCTCTCGTTGGCTACCTTGGCGTCTCGCATCCATTTTTCTATTAATATCTGCTGTAATCTGTTTACACCAATCATGTTTACTTTCACAAACACATTCCTTAGTCGTTTCATATTGAAATCAATATTTTATAAAGCGTAGTAATTCAAAACAATCAACTTCATATTCAAGATTTAATAATTCTCTCTCCTCTTGACCACCTATTGTTCGAGTCATCTAATTTAAATTCTCATAAAGTTTGAAAAAGTTCATATTCGACAAAAGAACTGCTTTTAAACTATCATCATTTAATTTTTCACAATATTTTAATTGTAAAAAATAATGCAATCCATTACTCCAATGTGTATTCAATTGTTCAACACTAAAGTACTCGGAACTCGAAAAAATCTCTATTTTCAATCAACAACTGAATATACTGATGAACTTTATTCACATTTTCTTCACTATGAGATTGTTCGATCTTATTATTGACTGATACCCAGATTTGAATAAATATATCTCTTAAATGTCTCATATATATTTTCTCAACATTATCGATAACCATATTATCAACTTCGTTTACAAACAGAATATCTCCTATACGATCGTTTATGTCCTTAACAAAAAATTTCGTAAGTAAAATATCTCTTTGAAAAAAAAGCAATCTCACTACAAATGAAACCAAATAAATGAAAAAAATCTTTGTAACCTTCTTCTGGGTCGTCGTTCATTTCCTGAATATCTAAAACGTTCGAACTCGTAACAATATCAACTTTTTTGTCAATCAATGCTTGTGCAGTTGCTAAAATAGCAGTAATCAACGATTTTTCTTCACTTATAGATATATTACCTAATCTACCTTTTTCTATGCCATGTAGTTCTAAAAATATACCTAAAGCGATTGATTGAATATTTGTAATATGATATTCATGATATAATTCTACTGCTTTTACAATGGCAACTATCATTTCCAGAAGATATTCCTTATCCTAATGAAAATATTCTTGACTTGAACCATTGTCTTTTCTTAACTTATCAACCAATTGTCGAATATATCATCTTTTGTCCGATCCTTAATTGATTTACTAGAAAACGAAGTACAAAGGTTTTATTTTTATTTTTCATGTCTTAGTGGTTTTTCCTTTTCATTGAATCTTTAATCATAAAATGAATGAATTCTTTCTAATAATTTGTTTATTTTTGTTTGACCGAGCTGACTGTTTAATACGATCATTTATTTTTCTTTCACCTGTTTGTATCATTAATTCAATCAATTGTTCTACACTTAATTTGCAAAACTGACTTTCAGTGTGATCTTTTAAAATATTATTCCATTGATCAAATGGTTTATTTTTTAACGAATTTAAACTATCTTTATCTAACATAAAACCGCCAAAAGTTAGTTCTTCTTACAATTCATTTAGTTGACTAAGAACAAATTGATCATCTTGAACTTTTATATTTTTTTCAAGTCGTAATTTCCACAGAGGTAATTTTTTTAAAGATAATTTATTCAACAATTGATAAAAGAAATTGATACGACTCTCCATAACTAAATCAATAAATTCAATCAAAAATCAACTCAAGTTTAACGAAATATGTCTACGAATAGACATTGTGGATCAATATGTATGCCTAATTTTTCTTTCAAATGGTTTAATTTATTTGTTGATTCGGAATCAAGAGTTCCACTGAACATTTTTTTTTAGATTATATTCGATACATGCAAACAAAATATCAAATAACCATGAATTTCTTTTCTTTTGGGTAATTATTTGTTTAACTACTGACAAATCTTCAAAATCAGAACACAAAGAATATATTTTTGTTTAGATTATTTAATGAAATTTCACCTGGACTACCTATACTCATTTCTGGCATCTAGTCAACTCAAATCATCTAAACGATTTTCGACAAAAAAACTGAGATGCTTGAATTTCTTTACATGTTCTTTCTGTATCAGTTGAAAAATTCTCTTAAGAATTTTATCTTTTACTTGTTCAACTTTCAATGCATTTAATTCCTTTAACCATGATAGAACATGTTTTAAAAATACATCACCTAACCTTTTTATTTGACGTTCATTGTCATTATCATTTTTTTCTTTATGAACGATAAAATCTATTTAATCTGCCAGTTTTCTTCATTACTGCTGAATAATGCTATTAATTTTTCCAGGTCTTCATTATTATTTATGTGATACTGAATGTCAACTGCAGAGAAATTTATTTCATAAATTACCCTCTTTCAATTGAATCATGTCAAAACTTAATTTAGAATTTTTTTTGAAATATTTCACCTGGGATAATGTTTCGATCAAAATTCAAAGAAGAAAACATAGTTGCACCATGTCTATTATCTACAAAAACAACTTTTTATTTGATCGCCCTTTTGATAATGAATGTTAAATATTCCATTAACTTTAACAGTAACAATTTCCAATTCAATGCTAAATCTATTTCATTTGTATTGCGTAAACGAAAAGGAACTCAGGTGTCTTTGTCATTTTCATGTAACGAAAAAAAATCAACAACAATGTTTGAAAAGATTTATTAGATATTTCTCTTTAAATTGTTCATTATTATTCAAATTCATTATCCTTTGTAATAAGTGTCTAAAAAACTTCTGCTTATTATATAAATAATCAAATGATAAAACATCTAAAACAGATAAAATATCAGGCAGATTATCTTTAGTTATTTCTTGAGAATCTATATGAAAAGCTTTGGTAATAATCTTATCTACTGTATTATCTAGAATTTTTTCAGTTTGATTATAAATTTCATCAAAAGAAATCAATAATTCTTTGTAATCTGTTCTATGATTAAATAAT